TTTCTTCATAGCGGCGATCGCGAGAAGAATTCGGAGTGAGGTATGTCGGCTGACCGGGGCGAATGTCTCGGTGAAGTCCCGTCCGTGCTCCTGGTCGAATCCACGCACGACCCAGCGTGCTTTGAATTTCTCGATTGTACCGTCTGCCTTTGTTTTAATGCGGAAGACCCATTTCGCGGTGAGGATGGTCTTGTTCCTTGCCACGCTTACGGGAACGACTTTCCAGGTGTTGCGTTCCTCCAGCGCCTTTAACTCTCTGTCCATGGCTTCATGCCATTTCTCCCTGTGTTCCCCCCCAAGAGCCTGCTGAACTGTCGCAGGCTCTTTAGGAAGAGCATTGCCGTGGACTGCGGTGACGAGGCCGAGAATCTGCAGTCCAGTCTGTGAGTAGCGGGGGAGAGTTGTGTCCTCGGGATAAGCTGCTTCATCTCCCGCTTCTGGGTCGGGTATGAAATTCGGCCCCATCCGTTCTGCTTCGTTGGTGTTGACTGTCGCAGGTGTTACGTAACCGTTGTCGGCGAAGTGGTAGAAGACTTCGGCGTTGGCGCTTTCGCGAGGATTTTCTTCGTCCATGGGGACGTTGACTGAGCAGAACGGTAGAGGTCCAGCTTCTTCTGATGCGTTGTCGACGTTCTGCTCGTCCCAGTCTGCTTCGTCCGCTGCTTAGGGCGAAGGCTCGATCACCACGAAAGCCACCTGTGGGGTCCTGATTTTCGTGCAAGTTGGCGAGGTACGTCTGAAGCGTGAGTCGTTCGTAGAAGATCACGTCACGTGCTGCTACTGTTTCCTTGGAGTGGACGTCGAAGATTTTCCACGCGTTGTAATTCTTTTCGATGCCGAGGTGTAGTCCCCATTGTGCGCGTTGTGAAAATCTTCCCGCTCGTGCTTCTGGGGGTCGGTACTGTACCATGCACCCGAAAACTCGTAACATTTTTGTGCTGCCCTGTTTCCCTGTCCACAGCAGATGCGGTGATGCGTTGTTCGGAAGTGAGGACGACGACATCAAGTTGTGCAGCATGACAGCGTGGTCCATTGCTGCAGCCCACTGGTGGTTGGGTAGCCGCATGCCACGTAGCAGTTTGCGCATGCTGTTCTGCAGAGTCCTGTTCATTCTTTCTGCGACACCTTGCTGCTGATGGGCGTAGGGAAGGGAGAGGAGCTGCTTGATTCCTCTTTCCGCCAGGTACTGCTTGAAATGCTGAGAGGTGTATTCTCCTCCTCCGTCTGTCTGGAAGCTTTTCAGCTGTGCTCCCGACTCTCTCTCTGCTACTGGTAGCCAGGCGGCGAACGCTGCGAGTGCCATGTCGCGGCTGGGTAGGTTTAGGTGCCAGACGTATCGAGTGGCGGCGTCGATGAAGGTTATCATGTCGTTGTAAGTAACTTGTCCTGGTTCTCGATTGAAGAGAATATCGCTGTACACCTTCTCGAGTGGTGCGTACGCGGGTGCGCTCGGGTTGTGGTGAGGAGTAAACGGTCGATGTGGTAAGTCGGCTTCGGGGCAGGTGAGGCAAGTTCCTCGTGCCCGTTGAAGTTCTCTGCCGTCGTGTAGTAGTAATGAATCCTTGTCTAGGACTCCTGCTCTTATTGTATTATTTAACACTGTGTTGCTTGGATGTCCCATGCGTGCGTGCCAGATGTCTTCGGAGGCGCGGTGTCCGGGTGAGCGTCGATACGCATCGGAGTTGGAGTAGAAGCTGGCGACGAAGTTTGCGCTTCTGTGGATTTCTCGTTGAGTTGGGTTCAGCTGCTGTGCGAGTGTTGGTGGTGCTTCGTCAACGAGAACTGGTGTCGCTGACGATGGTTCTGCTACTGCCGATGATGTTTCTGCTGCTGCCGATGTTGTCTCTGCTGCTTCTGCTGCTGCCGATGTTGTCTCTGCTGCTGCTGATGATGTTTCTGCTACTGCCGATGTTGTTTCTGCTGCTGCCGGATGTTGAATTGTTGCTAATGCGCGTGTTCGTTCTGCTTCAGGGATGGTATGCGAGTACCAGAAGCCTTCCGGGCTGAAGTCTGGATCAAGATCTGGAGGGTGCGTCCAGTCGGCGAAGTTCACGATGGCGTCACTATCTGCGGTGCCCAGGTCTGGGACGAAGTCAAGGACAAAGACGTTATTGTTCAGAACCGCCTTTCCGATGTAGAGGCCGCCCTTCCCGTGGTACAGTTTGAACTCCTGGGTGGTGCTGTCGGCTTCCAGGTGTATGCCTTTCGCCATCAGCTGACAGACGCTCAGTAAGTTGTAGCCGAGTCCCTCTGCTATTAGGACTTTCGACATTTGTAGTACGACGTTCGTCTCCCGTGACTGAAGTTATACTATGCCTTGTCGTCTTGTTCGCAGGTTCTGATTATTGGCGACGGCGATGACGACTTCGCGTTGAAGTCGGTGCTCGCGTTGAACGAAACGTCCTGAGGAGCACATGTGTTGTCCGCAGCAACTGTCCAAGAACCAAGTGTCTCTTCCGGATGGCTCGCTTTGAGCGATGGCGGCGTATGTCGGGTTCGGCTGAAGTGACTCGCGGCGAGGTGTGGTTTCGTCAAGTCGTTCTTCTGGTGAGTAGTGCGGCGGTGATTCGGTGATGCAGGAATCTGTTGTCTTTGCCATGCAGTTGACGATGTTTCTTGCTCCTTGTGCAGGTTGTCCTGTTGGAGTCGTTGAGGTTTGAATCTTTGTCGTGGGAGTTGCTTGCGTTGAAGTAACTTGGGAGCTTGAAGGCCGAAGTTGTCGCTGTGGTGTTGTCGATTGCTGGCGATACGGGCAGTGCGTACGAGGATGCCCTGAAGTCTTGCAGATATGGCAAAACGGAGGTACTGGCTTCAATTGTTGTTGCTGCCGATTTTTGTTGTTGTAGCGTCGCTGGGTGTGAAACGCGAACTCTGGTACTGACGTTTTCTTCTTATGTCGTTCTTCTTGCAGGTCCACGTCCTGCTGTTCAGCATGGATTTCGGCGCAGAGTGCTGCTTCGGAGATTCTCCCGTGTGCCCGTAATATGGCGCGAGTGGAGCGCCAGTGAGGGCCAAGACCACCGATGACAACCGTGACAAAGGCGTCTTCTGAAATCGATCATCCACATCGAAGAAGCTTGTCGCACAGTTCGCGGCAGCGACTAATATATGCCATGCCCTTCTCGCCTGGTTTCATTTCGATTGTTGTCAGCTGCGCCATTAACCGGCTTTGGTTTACGCTGTCTGTTGCTTGATACAGGTTCTTCAAGTGGTTGTACGCGAGCTCCGCGGAGTTACCGTAACCTCGGTAAGTCCTTATGTTCTGCTGTTGAGTCGGGGTGATGTTCCTCAGTAGTATTGTGTACGCCATCATCGATTGATAGGTGTACTGCTGCTTCTCATACTGCGTGCCGTTTGTTGGATATGGCAGGGACCCGTCGAAGAAGCCAAGGATCTGCGCTCCTTCCATCATCAGCTCGAATTCGAACGACCAGGTAAAGAAATCCTTCCCGTCGAAAGGTTTTGTCGTTTGTAGTTTTAGAACATGCGCGAATTGCGACTGAACTTGTAGTGCGTCCAGTGCTCTTTCTTGTCCCGGTGCAGGTTGTGGTTGCGGCATGAAGCTGACGGAGCCGCGCTGGGGCTCGTACGGAGCGAAGATAGGTTGTTGATGTTGATTCCCGCGTGCGTAGGATGAGCCATCGAGACTCATGGGCGTCACGTTGTTGTTGTTGTTGCTGTTGTTTGATTGCGCAGGTACTCCTTGCTGATGCTGCTCGTAGAAGGACATGAAGGAGAAGAATTTCTCCATCATACTTGGATCGAAGCCCGCGCCTTGGTTTGCGGGTGTTTCCGTAGACCCAGCGGCTGGTCTAGTTGTTGTCCCTTCCTCTGTCAGTAGGCCAGAGGAAGGAGGTGGAGTAGGGGTAGTATCGGGAGAGCCGTTGGAGGAGCTCCTCTCCTTTCTAGCAGACATGTCTTCTTGATGTATTAAGTGTTGAAGAGAAATTTTTAACTCTAACCAGCTCTCATACCATGTTGGGCTGAACGCCCTAGGATCTTTAGTAGAGTTAAAGTCTGAGTAAATGATGTAGTAGCGGAAGCGTTTGAATAAAGTCCTTGAACCACCTTGCGCTAGTATGTGAGGGCAAAGTAAGTTGATTAAAGCAAAGAGATACAGGAATATATATATGAGTACAGAGAATATGAAGAGACATAATTGTAACTGTTTTACTGTTGCGGTTCGATACAGTGCGACTCGGGCAACTGCTCAATGTCGAGTCAGTTGTGTGTCCTTGCTGTCGCGCTGCGTCAGGTCAAAGGTCGCTGACCTTTGACTTTCTCGTAACCTCCAGCGGTTACGTTAACCTCCGAGGGTTGACTCGCGGTGCTTCGATTTGAGCTGCTTCGCTTGTGTCTTGAGTTTCGACACGACAGAGGCGTTTAAGACTATTTGTTCCCAACAACCCTAAACCATCCCGTTTACAAGATAACTCAAGCATTTTTGCCCATGTACGAGATAAGACATATATGTCTTATATCCGGGCGATGACGGTAGGAGATCTTATGCTCCAACATGTTCTACGGTAATTGATGGGTGTGAGATGCTCCATATTTGACTGCTTAGCGCTGACCAATTCAAGTGCCTTTCACAATTCATAAACTTATTCCCCTGCCCTAGTGTGCCTACATCCAAGCATGAACACTTTGAGAGCTTACAATTTAGGTTCAACCTTAGTATTGGGCTAGAGTTCTTATACAAATCAAAAGCCATTCTTACTGGATTCTCCTGGCTCAAGGTATTTTGCTACAACACAACGCGCAAGGTATTTTTTCTCTTGGCATGATTCAGGCAGGCATGATTCAGCCTGGATAAGCAACTACCACAGCATCATAAGCAAAGAGCACGAGGCTCTCTTGACAGTACGGAGCTACTGCAAATACAGTACAGCTGTAGAATGTTCACTTTCATAGGGTATAATGTAAGCACAGTTAACAAAAAGTTGTCCAAAATTCATCAACCAATCCTCGGGCTAAATTCACCAGCCAATCCTCTCGGGCTACTCTTCCCGCTTCCTTACCCCCCGTTCACCATTGTCCCTCCCGCCTTCCACCCTGCCCCGTTCGCCGTCCCCCACATGTGCCATGATCCAGTTGAGCCCCTCGCCCATGGTGCCTGGCATGTGGTCGCTGATGCACCACGGCGACACCACTATCTCGCGCACCGCCTCCTGCTGCACCTCCACCACCTGCCACCGCATGTCACCTCCCGCCACCTCCTCGTGCGAGGGGAACACACCAAACTGCCTCTGCGGGTGCACTTCCTTGCGAGTGGTGGGGCGATGGCCACAACCAGGGGGGTCGCAGCACAGCATCAGCAGACGACCAGGGGGGTAAAGGGGTGGCGCAAAATCCTCTTGCTGCCGCTTCTCATGAGCACTCTCTGGCTTTTCAGCCCGCTCCTCATTTTTACCCTCTCTCCCCGCAGTGCTCCCATCCTCGTTGCTGTCCACTGCTTCCGCCACCTTACTTCTCTCCACGCCACTTCCCTCATCGTTGCACTCACCTCTCTGGACCATAGCCTCCATTCCAGCTTCCCCAGCGTCGTTACTGTTACCGCCTTCCCCACTGTCGCTACAAGAGCCAATGGCATCCGCCCCACTCTCCATGGGTTGCGCCTCCACCCACTCTTGATCTGCCTGCCAGTCCTCCCCTGCCTCTTCCGCTCTCTTCCCCCCCCCTGCTTTCATGCCATCCCCTTCACCACTCTCTGCCCCATCCTCCTCAACCACATCATCCACACCTTGCCCACTCCTTGACTGCCCATCGCTTCCACGCATCACCTTGCCTAACTGCCCCTCATTCGCCCCCCCCTTTTGCCCCTTGCTACCATTCTCCTGCTGCTTCGCCCTTGCGCCCCCCACGAGCTCAACCACCCCTTGTGGAATGGCATCTGCCACGATCTCAGGGACCCTCTCCGCCACCACATGCTGGAGCTCCTGTGCCTTGCCACCCAGCCCAACTGCCGCCCCCGTCACTGCCACCGCAGCTCCCTGCACCGCTGCTGCCGCACCCATTGCCTGGCTCTGCACTGCTCCAGCCGCCCCCACTGCAGCCCCCAGCAGTGGTGACTGCTGCACGGAGGCCGCTACACCTGCCGCTGACTGCTGCACTGCTGCTGCCGCCAACAATGCAGTCCCCTGCACGGCTGCCGCTGCCCCCACGGCGGTGCTCTGCAGGTCCTTGAGGCGCGTGAGCAGGTCCCTGGCCGCCTTGACGCGCTGCCAGTCCTCGTCATGCCACCCCAGCACAGCCTCCGCATGGTCCCAGTCAAACGTGCCGATGGCCTGCCGCAGCAACTCCACACTGGCCAGAGAGAACCTGCCAGTGGCAAACAGGGGTCCATAGGAGGCAGGGGTGGGGCGGACGAGGGCATGGGATGGGAGGCACACACGGACAAGCAGGCGCGTGTGGGAAACCATATAGTAGAGGCGTATGGGCAAGAGATGCACATACCGAGGCACTAAGTCGTGCTGCAGTAGCACACAGGTGACAAAGGAGGTGCACTGCTGGGCCAAGTCCAAAGTCATGCATGCAGGCGGACCGTACCCCACACACTGCACCTCCACACCATCCAACCCCCTCCCTGCTCCCACCACTGCTTCCGCCGCTGCCTCCTGCAGCTCCTCTGACTCCCTGTCCCCCCACCTCCTCTCCTGCTGCCGCCCTTCCGACCTCCGCCCCCTGCCACCACGCCTACCACCACGCTTGGCGGGAGCAGCATGAGAGTGGTTGGCACCTGTCACAGCATGCATGCTCTCTCTTGATGCCTCGCCATGACCTGCGCTGCCCTGTGCATGAGGGTGCGCGTGCAGGCGGTTGTTCTCATGCCGCAGCATCATGCCTGCCAAGATGGCCACAGCCGCGCCCAGGCTGTGCCCCACAAACACAAGGCGCCGCACCGGCATGCCATGCCACGTGCGCAGTGCGTGCTCGATGTGGTCCCGGGCCTCACTGCACGGCCACAAGGGAGGCACTCACAAGAGAGCCACGTAAGAGAGGGTGACAGTTCAGCTCTGCGCACTTGTCATGCTGCGGGACCAAAGCAGGCCAGGCAAGTGTGGGGCTGCATTCACAAGCCAGAATCGAACCAGAGCATTCATTTGGAACACATAAGGTGTGTGGTGGGTGAAGCAGTGAATACTGGTTCAGACTGAGCAGCTGCCTACTGGAGCAAATGTGTCGAGGCGTGCAGAAAGCCACTGTGCACTTTGCCGCCCAGGAAATCGTGTGGAAAGGTGCCGGCATTGACGAGCATGTCAGCGGTGTCGGAGGTGCCTCTGACAGCCACCACCACGGCCCCCAGCTGCGCGTCCACGCACACCACAAACGCCGGGCGCACCCGCTGGTTGTGCGGCTGCCACTGCGCATGCACTATGGCCGACTCCGGCAGACACGTCTGTGCACGGGGACGGAGGAAAAGGGAGAGGAGAGAATGGGAGCTGAGACACACCATGGGAAGAACAAAACGGGCAGAGGGTCCACCAGGGGAGACAGAGGGGAGTCGAGAACAGGCCTGATTCTTGGGTGGCGCGTCACTCTGGCGGCCCCGATTTGCCATCGCTCTTGCTGAGATTTTCTGGAAGTCCCTTGCAATTGCAATCGTTGTGGCGCTTTTACCTGTCAGATGTGGCTTAACGAGCAACTGCCACACTGCCACCCTGAGGGTGCGATTGAGGGGGATGAACCAGGACCGGAACAGCGAGGAAAGTGATGAAGAAAGAGCGAGACAGTAGTCATGGCAAAGCATGGACGTACAATTAGCAACAACCCCTTTGAACCAACTTCCGTTGAATCCTTTGAAAGCATCATCGACTGCAGCAGTCGTCCAAATATGAGACGTCCTCAACAATACAGAACGCCAATCACGGATATACTCCCTATGTGCAACACGTTTTGTGCGACTGAGTTGGGTTGGGCAAGAGGGCGGTGGAGAGGTGACCTGCAGCGACCAGGAGGCGATGTCCCCCGAGTACACGGCCTCGGCGTGCGCCCTCAGGCGCTGCAGCTCCACCAGGCGCGCCACACCCGCCTCCGCAGGCGCCACCACTCGCCCACGCGGTGGGGGAGGGGGGCGCTTTGCCGTCACCTGAGTGGATGAGACGAGCAGGGGAAGAGGAGAGAGGCGTTAGCATGAGGGGGAAGGGGAAGGGGAAGATGGATGAAGTGGATACGTGGAGCCAGGACAAGGTTGGGTGGCAGTGGCAAGTGGGGGTGGCAGCAGAGGAGGGGCAGGGCAGGGCGACCTTGGCCATGACGGTGAGGCCGAGGGTTAGGTCGGACACGGACCACGGGCCCAGGTTCGCCTGGATGCACGCCACCCCGCGCGCCAGCATCTCCATCGGTCCCGGCGCCGCCACTGGCCCTTCCCCTCCACCGCCCTCCATGCCCGACCTCTCCACATCCCCCACTTCTCCCCCTGTTGCTGCTGCTGCCCCTTCTCCCTGCCGCTCCCTCGACCTCTGCTCCCGCTCCCCACTTTCCAGCTGCCGCCCCGCCCTACCCTCCTCGTCACTGCTCTGGGTGGCCAGCCCTCGTTTGCCGCCGTCCCTGCCGGCAGTGCCGGCGGCGGCGTGCAGTGCGCGCGTAGGGTTTAGCCGGCCTTGCGCCGGCCGCGCTGCTCGCGCCCACTGTGAGCACCAGGGGAAGGCAAGGTACGGAGTGAGGAGCGGGAGTGTATGAGCGCGAAGGATTATGGTGACGACGGCACACGAAGGGCACACGAAGGGCACATGGTGGCAGTGTGTCTGCCCTACGCGCGTAGGCGCCTCAAGCTACCTGCGCCACTCTCGGTGCAAGCAGCATGAGCGCCGCAGCAGCACTGCCGGCGGCGACCACCACGCGGGCCATGGCGGCGAATCCGCGCCCCTCGCTGCGCGGCAGCTTGCTGCCGCGGAGAGCGTCTTGCGTCGACCCGCCCGTCAGCGCGTTCACCATTCGCCGTCGCGGCCGTCCCGTGCGTTGTTCCGCCCCTCTGAGCAAAGTTCCGTGACCCTCCGTGCCGCCAGCACGACGAGAGGACGCCATGGCGAGTGTGTGTTTTGCATGGAAGGGTGGGAGGGAGGTCCAAGGGTCGGAGGTGGAAGGGTGTGACGTGTGGAGCAGCAGGGAGCCCCGGCATGGAGCGCCCCTGTGATTCTGCCCACGAGAGGCGAGAGATAGAGAGAGGACGAGCGCGGCGCGTACGAGAGCCGCATCGCGGCTGGAGAACGACCCAGCTGACGAGTCGCCATGCAACGAAGACGAGGTTGCCACGTACGGGTGATAACCGAACACGTGGAAGCCTGTTGCCAGCCAGCTCAATTCGAAGGAAATTGTGCACTGAATTGCATTTAGGGTATCTTAAAGCCCAAGTTCCACATGGCTGTATTCAGATTCAAGCTTTTTGAATATGAACTTGCCAAACACCAAGTTAGGGCGCGTGTCCTTGGTGGGCCAGGTTCAAATTCGAGTTCGAGTTTTAAGTGGTTACCGGTTTCGCCAATTTCGGCAGAATGGTTCGCGCATTCGTGAAAACAGCGGCGGGAGGTGGAACCGAATGTGGAATACGAACACCGGTCGACTTTATGGCCGAACGTGGGCCCGCACGAATTTGTGAACGTGTGTCCTGACCACGCTCATAGCTGCGGCGAAATCGGCGACACTGACGAAGTCATCGTGCGCTATTTGTAGGCCTAAGTGTTCCGTGTCGCCCAGTGACGACGTGGCGCACTGTCAAGAACCCAAACAGGGTAACCTACGAGACGGGTACGCGACGCGAGCAATGCTGTAGAAAGTCGAGTTCGATGATCGAACTCTCGATGTCACGGTTGCTTGACTGGAAATTTGCAGGGCGGCTCGGCTATCGAGAGTTGTAATATTCGAGTACAGTTCGAATCTAGTTCCAACTGTAAAAACTCGAGTCTAAAAAGCAAACTTTACAAATATTGCCAAAGGACACGCGCCCTTACCACCCGAAGTGACTCATTCCGTCGGTTCACAGAGGATAGGTTTTGCAAATCTGATGCTTGATTGGGCAGCGACAAAGCGAGTCTTCTCTTTATTGAACACTTTTCTCCTTTGCAACTCTCTCGACATTCCTCTTGAACCCAAAACCTAAGCTACTAAGCTACCATAGCCATGGCTCCTAAGTCTTGCTGTCCTTAGTATCTTGACATGGAATCAGAGCTATTACGCTCTTGGCCTGTGGGCCCCATGTGCTTCCGCTGCTTTCCTGTCTGTCGCGCGCCCCGTGGCGCGCGACGCTTTTTTCTTCCCGCCACGCGCTCGGGGCGCGTGGCGGTTTTCTGCCCGCCGTGCGCCCCGACGCGCGTGACGGCTTCCTGCTTCACGTACCACCCCGACGACCCGCGCGTCCCCCCCCGTCAACGGTCGCGTCGCCCCGCAACCCCTGCTGCCCCGTCGCGGCGCCCCGCAACCCCCGCTGCCTCGTCGCGACGCCTCTGCGGGACCCTCGCGGCGTCGCCCCTGCTCGTCGCGGCGCACCCCCCCCTGGCCGCCGCCTCTTCCTCCCCTGCGCCTGCGCCTGCTTTGCAGCAGCGCGCGGGCCTGCCCTGCACTAGCGACGCCGCCCCTGGCCCCTGGAGCAGCCGCCCCTGGAGCAGCCGCCCCTGGCCTCTTGAGCAGCCGCCACTGCAAGAGCCGCCCCTGGCCCCTAGAGCAGCCGCCTCTGGAGCAGCCGCCCCTGGCCCCTGGAGCAGCCGCCACTGTAGCAGCCGCCCCTGGCCCCTGGAGCAGCCGCACCTGCAGCCGCCCTTGGCCCCTGGAGCAGCCGCCCCTGCAACAGCCCCCCTGGCCTCTGGAGCAGCCGGCACTACAGGAGCCGCCCCTGGCCCCTGGAGCAGTCGCCCCTGGAGCAGCCGCCCCTGGAGCAGCCGTCGCTGCAGCAGCCGCCCCTAGCCCCTGGAGCAGCCGCCCCTGGCCCCTGGAGCAGCCGCGACGCCGCTCCTGGACCCTGTGCAGCCGTGGGGGAAGGGTATGGGGGTGGCGGGTGTGGGGGTGATGAGTGTGGGTGCTACCCTTCCCCTCCTCCTCCTCCTTCTTCGTCTCCCACTGCTGCAGCTGCCGCTGAAGGGGGGTGGATGTGTGGGAGCCGAGGGGAGTGGAACTAAGGGGGTGTCGTGGGAGTGGAGACAGGGGTGCAGCAAGGGAGTGTGTGAGAAGGGGGTGTGGGACTGTTAGGGGAGGTAGAGCGGAGGTCGCCGTCGTGTCGTCAGCAGCGCCAGTAGTCAGGAGCCCTCGTGCTCTCGGTAGCCCAGCGAGCCTGCTTCGCCAGTTGCCTGTGGGTCCGTTGCTCCTGCCGCTCGTCGTAGCCGCGGAGCCAGATACTCCCATAGTCCGGTGCCCTCGTGCGCTCGGTAGCCATTGTGCGCGCCGCTCCTGTTGCCCGTGTGACAGCGGCTTCACCTGTCGCCTCCTATCTCCACCCATGTCACAGTCCCTCCTCCTCCTCACTTCCCCTCTCCTTCTGCTGCGCTTGGTGTACCCCTTCAGGGGGTGTCTCTGCATTGGCTTCCTGCTGCAAGCAGTTTAGGGGGTGTGTTGAAATATATTTCTTATATAAACTGCTTGTAGCGATAGTTAGTGTAGTGTTACATTGTTTGGTGGTGCACCTTGCTTGCTTTGCCTATATTCTTGTACCTTCTCTCTTTATTGAACACTTTTCTCCTTTGCAACTCTCTCGACATTCCTCTTGAACCCAAAACCTAAGCTACTAAGCTGTCAAACTCATATACTATAGTCTGTGTAGGCTATAGTGGGGTAGCTTATATGGGGTACAACACTTTAGGGTTTGGTACTTGTACTCCTCATGCTGCTTAGTGCACTCATTCTCTCGTTCTAGTTTTCTCATGGTATCGAGCAGGTTCCCTCGTGGGAACTGTTCCTAGGGCCCACCATTTTTTTCCTGCCGGGAGCGCACTCAGCCCCTGCCCGAGTCGCGCCCCCTCTCACGGCCCCTAGCGGCCCCGTCGCGCCGCCCTCATTCCCCCCCCCCCCCCCCCCCCCCACGGCCCCTTAGCGGCCTCTCGCGGCCCCGTCGCGCCGCCCTTGCGACCCCGTCGCGCCGCCTTCGCGGCCCCGTCGCGCCACCCTCGCGGCCCCGTCGCGCCGCCTTCGCGGCCCCGTCGCGCCGCCCTCGCGGCCCCGTCGCGCCGCCCTCGCGGCCCCGTCGCGCCGCCCTCGCGGCCCCGTCGCGGCGCCCTCGCGGCCCTGTCGCACCACCCTCGCGGCCCTGTCGCGCCGCCCTCGCGGCCCCGGAGCCGCCCTTGCTGGCCCCGTCGCCCTACCCTCGCGACCCCGCGGCCCCACCCTCGCGGCCCCGGCGCCGCCCCCCCCCCCCCCCCCCCCCCCCCCCCTCGCGACTTCGTCGCCCCCAGCCCGCGACCCCACCGCCGCCCTTCGCGGCCCCGTCGCCACGCCCGTGCGACCCCGGCGCCGCCCCTCGCGGCCCCGTCGCCACACCTCCGCGGCCCGGTCGTCACCCTTCGTGGCCTCGCCGCCGCCCTCAGTGGCCTCGTCGCTGCTCCACCCTACCCCGCCGTCCCTTCAGCGGCCCTGCCGCCCCTCACGGCCCCGCCGTCACTACCGAGCAGCCGAGCCGCCGAGAGCCGGCGCCGCCGAGCCGCCGTTGCCACTGAGTCGCCGAGCCGCTGAGCCGCCGAGCCGCCGTTGCCGCCGAGCCGCCGTTGCCGCCGAGCCGCCCTGCCACTGACACGACTCGGCCCCGCCCTGCCGCTGACACGACCCGGCCCCGCCTTGCCGCTGACTCGACCCGGCCCCTCACTGTAGCTGCTGCCGCGGCCCCGCTGTCGCCGCCGTCGCGCGCTGACCCTGCCGCCGCCCGCCTAGCCCCGGCCCTGCTCGCCCGGTGAGAGCCTGCTCTTCCCGCCACTAGTGAGCCCCTGCCTTGCTAGCGCGCTGCCGCGCCGCCTGCTTGCCTGCCTGCCGGCCTGCTTGCCTGCCTGCCGACCTGCCTGGCTGCCTGCCTTACTGCTGCTACTCCTGCTTCTGCTGCTAGTGGCGGAGCCAGATGCAGCCCCAGCGACGTCCGCGTGAGTCCCTCACGCCCCAGCAGCTGCGTGAGTGGTACGCTAGTTGGGGTTGTAGGGGTGGCGGCGCTGCTACTGCTACCACTGCTGCTGCTGCTGCTACTGGCGGCGGCCAGATGCAGCTCCAGCGACGTCCACACGAGTCTCGCACGCCCCAGCAGCTTCTTGAGTGGTACGCTCAGAGTAGAGGGTCTCTCACTTCTGTTCGCTGCTCTTACGTGATTCGCACTGGTGCTCGGACTAGTCAGCCTTGTGGGACGCCTAGTCACACACAGTCCCGCTGCTTCGCCCGTCTGAGCGACGCCTGGCGTACCGAGTTTGGCGACGAGGCTGAGCTCCCCGACTGGGTGGAGTTGCTAAGGCAGAGAGTAGATATATTTGCTCTAGACTATGATGCTATTCTCACTGCCATGTATGCATTGCCTACTAGTGCTGACCGTGCCGGTCACCTGTGCGTACCGCCTGACCCAGGTATAGAGCCTGCTGCTGTAGGTGCTGGTGAGGCTGCTGCTCTAGGTGCTAGTGAGTCTCCTGCTCCAGGTACAGGTGAGGCTGCTGCTCTAGGTGCCAGTGAGTCTGCTTCCTCAGGTGCTGGTGAGTCTGCTTCCTCAGGTGCTGGTGAGTCTGCTCTCTCAGGTACCACGCTGGCTCCGGCCTCCCACACCTTCACCCTTGACTCAGGGGCTTCTCGCTCCTTCTTTCGAGACCGCACCACACTCACGCCGCTTGGTCGGCCAGTTGCAGTCTCTCTGGCAGACCCCTCTGGGGGTCCTGTCCTTGCTCACTTCTCCACTATTTTCCCGTGTCCGGCGGCTCCCTCTGGCACCCTGTCTGGTCTTTACCTCCCCTCGTTCTCTACGAACTTGGTGAGTGGTGCTGACTTACAGG